GGGTTTAGGGTTTAGGGTCCCTGATGAAGCCACGCTTTGCTGCGCAACGAGGTCTCTGCAAGGAACGGGCCCCAACAGGCTACGTTTGTACAAGTCCACAGCTTTCAAGCGATGGAGTGCGCGCAGTCGCCGACGCAAAACTCTCCGTGTCGTGATCATGGAATGCGCTTGCATGTCGAGGGTCTTGCTCCCAAGCCACACAACTCAAATCGCGTAGCCAGCCTTCCAAAAGTGTTATAACATTGCTCTGCTAGAACAGCTCCTAACTCCCTGGCTTAGGGTTTACCTATAGTCTCCGATGTAGTTCCTTTCTTGGTCTAGCCAAGTTTTATTATTAAGGATCCTAAAAGGTAACCCCAAAAAGGAACTACAATGGAGACTATAGGTAGGGTCTTAAAACACGAAGCCCCAAACCCTAAACCCTAAAACCCCAAACCCATCGCCTGATCCTGATGGGATTCTGTCGGTGGGCGTGAGAGCCTGCAGTTGGAGCTGGGAAAAGCACCAAACCCTTCTTAAAACCCTGAACCCCTAAGGCCTAAACCCCTAAACCCCTAAACCCCTAGACCCTAAACCCTAAACCTCTAGACCCCTAGACCCTAAACCCTTAAACCCCTAAACCCCTCAAACCCTTAAACCCCTAAACCCTTAAACCCCTAAGCCCCCAAAGCCTGAGACCCCTAAACCCCAAGCCCTCCTTAAAAGGCCCAGTGTTCAAGTCACGGGGCGCATACAATGGAGGAGCCTGGTGCTTCAAAGCGACTTGAAGCCTTAGGGGTTTAGGGGTTAGGGGCTTGAAAGGCTTTAGGGTTTAGGGGTTTAGCGGTTTAGGGTTTAGGGGTTTAGGGTTTAGGGTTTAGGGTTTAGGGGCTTAAGGGGTTTAGGGTTTAGGGGTTTAGGGGTTTAGGGTTTTACTACAGTTTTACTTTCATAAATAGTATGACAATAACATGATATGTTTATTGTAGTCATGTTGCAATAGTATGATGGTTCAGTTGTAGCAATATTACCCAAAGGGTCCAAACAATACTACGATGATGGAATTAGGTTCCCAAGACCATGATTAGGATGGCCTTCTGGGGCCTGGTTGCATAATGGTAGTGTATATGGACCCTCTGGGTATTTTTTACTATATTTGTTTATCATATTGCTTGCTTGCAAAATGACCAATGATATACATGTCATGTTATTATCAGACGATTAAGAATATGCCAAAAATCGTGTTGCTAGTGGGTTTGGAAGCCCACGCCCTAAACTCTTGGCCATAAGCCAGGACCCCTGAATTCACCGTATGCGTAGCCCTAGCTACGAAACCAAAAGCCCCAAGCCGCTAGGCCCCGTGATCCTTTCAGCATGGAGCGTGGAATCCTGAATAAGTGCGGAAGCAATCTATTCCTCAGGCTCCTCTTGATCCTAAACCCTAGGCCCTAGGCCCTTTAAATAGATACTCCCCTAAACCCTAAACCCTAAACCCTAAACTTCAAACCCAAGACACCCCTTTTAAGTAGGTACTCCCTTGAGCCGTAAATGCTGCCACTTTTGGGGTGGTCGAGGCGCTGGGTCCGGCGAGTCGGGTGCTGATGCCACGCAGTACACCAGAGGCAGAGGGTGCCCAAAAAGGTTCCTTAAAGACAGGCTCCTTAGAGGTTTAGGGTTCAGGGTTAGGGCACCCTAAACCCTAAACCCTAAACCCTAAACCCTAAACCCTAGGTTAGGGGTTCAGGGATAGGTTTTTGTTGGGGGGGGAGTTCGGGTTAAGGAGTGCCCCCTACCTAGGGCCTCCGAGAACGAAATCTTTGGTACATCATTGCACTAATAGAGGTAAGACTTATTGGCTGTAAACTCAACTTTTCAACTTTTGGGGTTCTTATAAGGTAGTCGGTTCTGAAAGTTTCAACTTTTATTTCCTTGGGTTTTGGGCCAGTGAGAAGAGTACATGTCAATGTGTGGCTTCTACGGGTTTAGGCATCAGGGCTTCAGATTCAGGGCTTAGGGGAGACTACCTGGGTTTTGGGCTTGGCGGAGATTGAGGTTGAGTAGTTTAGGGGGTCAGAGTGTAGGGATTTAGGGGTGCAAGGAGTTAGAACCCTAAACCCTAAAGCCCTAAACCCTAAACTCTAAACTCTAAGCCCCGAACCTTAACTCCTAAACTCTAAACTCTACACCCTAAACTCTAAACTCTAAACCATTCTAAACCCTATAAAGCTCTAAGCCCTGCCTTAAAACCTAACCTGAAGCCTAAGCCCTAAACCCGAAGCAGTTGGGAGTCCACTCTTCAGGTCAGCGGCTCTGAGTTCGTTTTTTTTGGTTTTAGGGTTTAGGGTTTAGGGTTTTTGGTGGACTTGTGCTGTTTCCAACTTGCGCTTGTGTTTTTTGGGGGATGGGGGGTGGGGTAGGGGAGGGGAAGCGCGGCTGGTCAGATTTTCTTGAGGTTCGAAATATCGAGGCATATGTGCCATGGATTTACGACGACCCACCGACTGCACCAAACTGGCCAGTGATTCAGACTTCTAAACCTCAGCCCTAAATTCTTGCAGGGAGAGCGAATGTAGCATATACAACGCCAATGGCAAGATTCGGTAACGATCACCGCTGCAAAGCATGATATTTGGGTTTGATTCTGGGGCTAATGGGTTATTTAGGCTTAGGGTTTATGGTTCTATGTGTGGATAATGCCGAGAGTTCGGCACAGGTTTCCTGACTATCTGGAAGAAATTGAAGCCGCAAAACCCAAAACTGCTGTCCATCTTCTCGATTCACAACCAAACCCTGGACCCCGCTAAACCCTAGACCCTAAACCCTAAACCCTAGACCTGCATGAACCCTAAACCCTAGCCTAAACCCTAGACC